CTGGCTCCGTGCGGTGGGCGCGCGCACCTGGGAGAGCTTGCGCAGGTGCACGGCGTTGGCGCGGCGCATGAGCGACGAGCGGCGGCGCTCCTGGAAGAAGTCGGCGGCGGAGGGGGGCGGCGGCGCGTCGGAGTCAGGCGGCTCTCGCGACGCCGGCTCCTGCGAGGGCGGCCGCGTCCCTGCGGACACACGCGCGCGCGCGCCTATTCGAATTTGAACCGATGCCTTGTTTCACGTGGCGAGACTCTGGCCGTCAGGCCCGCTCTTCCGTCCGACCACGCGAATTTCGCTGCGCTCCTTCCACCAACTAGCAGAGAAAGGAGGAATTTCTTGGGCGATGAAACAGGCGATTTGAATTTAGCTCAGAGGCGTCATTTAGGCTTGAGGATTAAGTAAATCTTGCAAGTAAATCTACTAACATGGTACAGCCGGCTTTACTTACCCTCCAAAGGAAGGCGTACGAAGGAACTTTTTCGCTCTTAAAAATCCACGGCTTCGATCGGGTGTGAACCCGCCAACTTGGGTATAACAGTCGCCACCGACTTATGTTTTTTAGATAGTATTGCTAACTTTTATTTTATTTTTATTCAGGTATACAAACCACTCAATGAAGGTCAGTAGTGGCTGATGCGCTCACAGAAATATAGGATTTGGCTGTCTAAGTTGCGTTCACAGATTAATGTAAATACTTGATCACCGTCTTCGTGGTAGCACTAGTGATTGATTGAATCGTTGTGATTCCGGTCACATCAACTGCTGCTCAACTGTGCGTCAAATAACGTGTCATTTGTCCTGTAAGGGTAGTGAATGTTATTTCCCTCGGTGGGTGGCGAGATACGGCGCCGACCTACCATCTGCTAATGGGTTTCCCTCAACCAGGAACCTCCCACAAGAGGGGCACCGCCCCACCCGGAACAAGCTCTAAGCTCCCGACCGGTCTACCGCGATGTGTGGTAGTGTAGTGTTAGTGTGCATGTAAGGATAATGTCTTTATTAATGGCGAGGCTCAGGCCATAGGGCCTGCTCTTCCGCCTAACCACTGAATTTACATACATTTAGAATAGTAACATTTTAGAGGGAGGACAAGCTGTACATTGACGTCTGGGAGAACAAACCTAGGGACCATCCCGGCATACGCCTTAAGCGATTGAGTAAACCAGAAAAAACCTCAATAAAAGCAGATGGCGGCTTAGGCCGAACATTAAGTATGAGTAAGTATGTTACTAGTAGTGAAAGGGAAGTTTTCGTGAAAGAGAAAAGAAGAGACGTCAGGGGAAGGGGTCTAAAAGTTAAAAATGATAAAATTTGTGAGGAAAGGGAAGAGAAAAGAAGCGAAGAAAAGGACGAAGAAGAAGTAGGCGAAAAAAGTGAAGTTATTTGAGGAACGTTAGAGAAAGCTACGTTTAGGTTACGTACTTTTTACAAAATATACAAATGATTTTAACACCAAAGAAGCACAATACACTGTAAGCAAATAACAACAGTAATTTTAAACACAATACTGCAGTACTAAGGAACAATACAAAGAGTGCTGGTATCTTAACATCAATTTTGTTTATGCCAATATACTGTAGTAAATATCCGATGGTACAAAGATACTTACAAGTATATTTTATCTGGAACGTCACTAATACTTTTGTATATTTTAATAACAATTTCGTTAGGGATAAGGATAGGACAAATAAATGGGAAGGAAAGTTCGCATGCGGGCCGTGGCCTCTTTGTTGGAGTACTGCTCCGGCATTCACCTGGTAATTGTCAGAGAAAACAAGGAAAACTACCGATCAGAGCAGTCCGTCGCTAGAATTCTTCTCCAGACAGATAGAGAACTCGACCCAGCTCTCTACCTTGTGACAAAAATCCTCCCACCGTCGGGACTCGAGCCTAGGAACTCCCGGTCAGAGGTACTGCGGGTTATTTCGTGTTTAAGGGCGCGTCAATTGCTACCATTCGTCAATTGCTATCATACGCTACCGTCCCTTAACGGTAGTGTATGTTTGAATCACGAGAGGTGGCGGTGATCTCTTTCCCCTGGATGGCGATATCTGACGCTGACCTACCTATCAGAAATTCAAAATATATTCAATTTATACGTGACATTCTTGTACTCAAAAAAACATGAAAATACTTTATCACAAACTTACGCAAATTGTTTGAAACGTATATTGTTAAATACATGTAACGTGGCTCGTGTCTAGCTCTTGGTCGACGTGCTCTATTTCCACTACACGGTCACGGTTTCGATTCCCGGTGGAGCCAAGACTATAGTGTGCATTTTGCTTGCAATGTCCCAGTGTATGTTGCTGTGTGACGATGAGAAAATTTCACTTCTCAGGTTGAGAAGACCGGAGTACGATTCCGCTTCTGCATAGCATTTCTAACCTTCATTGTTGTGAAATGAATGCCACAAGAACGGCTACCCAAGACTATCCTCGAATACAAACCAAAGAGGAAACGACCCAGAGGCAGACCCCACACAAGATGGAAAGAGACTCTTAAGAGCGGAACGGGCCACTAGGCCCAAACCTTGTTGCTGATGATGATGATGATTGTTGTGAAATAGTAACAATGTATTAAGCGTTTTTTAAGAACTGGCCATAACACCTGGTACGTGTATATTGCGGATATTTTCTTGCGCAATAGAGCATCATTGTAAATGCATGTCAATAATTTCTTGACTTTTATTCCTAACAACCTACCTAAGAATGAACGAAGATTACGAAAGAAGATAACTGTAATTTATGATTGTGTTGATACTGTATATCAGAAAACAAAAACTAATTTCAGAAATATACAATTTTTTGTAAATAGTGGGAATTTTATCTTGTATGTATCAATCATTCAGCGGTACTATATTCGGGTGTTGAAGTCTATCCTACCCCTGAGTCAACATCTCATCGACCGAACGGGGGTGGGTATCGACACCGTTGGGAACCCCTGGTGTTGATTTTAACATTTCGTCGTACGCACGGCTTAATGTCTGGTTAGTTGACATACAAAAATTGCCATTATATTTGAAGTGTCTATTGAAGGATTTGATTTCAGTCCATCTGATAACTCTAAAAGTCAAAGTAGAACGTTATTTTCCAAACATGTCTTCAGAAAGCTGACTAAAAATGAATAGATTGGTATTTACACGCGTCATAAACGTATGAAAAATAATTTTAAAAGGTAATAAAAATAATAAAAGAAGAAAAGTAATAATTATGCGATCAGTGAATACTAGTTGATTTCTGAATCTGCCGCTATATTTCAACAGTAATAATAACAACTCAAAATAAGAAACAACAAAAGCGGCTCAATTAAACTTTCTATGATAAGAGACCTTCACTAGCGTGGAGAAAGACCGGTCGATCGTAGTTGCACATTTGCCCACTTATGGACTTCATTCCGTTCGCTGCAATCCGCGATTAGGCGGGGTGAGTGTAAAATCGCCCAATGCATCAGATTCCACGTAAGACTTGTGTGAAGGGCGTGAAGGCGATTGATTCATGGTTCCGGCCTAATCAATTACTACTGTCTGTGTAAACCCATAGTGAATGTCCAGAGGTAGCGGTGTTTCTACCCGCTGGATGGTGAAGTGTTGCGTGAATCAACTTGCGGAGTATTACCCATCCAGGTATCTTCACTTCAGCGGTACACCCCCACGGCCGGGACAAACTTTGAAGCAAACTCGGCATATTTGATTTTGTAGGCATGTTAGTGCGTGTACAAGTAGGGGAAGAAAGAACATGGAAGAGAAAGGAAAGATCGCGCCTTATACGCGGACGTGTGTTACGGCAATGTTTTTGCATTCGCTTGGTATTGATCGGAGACACTACCGATGAGAGCAGCCGGCCTCTAGAATTCGCCTTCAGTCAACGACTGAATTCCAACTACCTACTGTCAAAAACTCGCCACCGTCGACATTTTGTGACTCTGTGACTTTCCGGTCACAGTCCTTGCAGAGACTACCGCAATGCTAGCAAAGAGCTAACACAGCCGGCAAGTAATATTGTTTGTTTTGTTGGAAACGATCCGAAACATCGTATTCAACCAAGCAACGCTACCTGTCGTTCCTACCTTGTGTTTTTATGTCAGTAGTCGAGCTGCGCCACAGTTGAGGTAATTCAGACTGCGAAGAATCCAACATGGGCTCGGAAATGGATGTCGGCGGGGCGGGCACGAAGTCATTGGAGGACGAAGAGGACGTCTCGACCAATGGGGAGATCGGTAACTCTGGATTAATGCTGCCGCCAGAGTTCCTTTTAATGAAAGTGACCGATCTACGTTGACCGTTTTCAATGGAATATCGGTTATCCATGGGTGTTGGATCTTTAGATTGACGTCTCGTTGGTTGGTCGCCGGATAGACGTCTCGTTGGTTGACCACTTGACAGACGTCTCGTGTGCTCTTCATTGGACAGCCGTTTCGATGGTTGATCACTAGACAGACGTCTCGTGTGTTCTTCATTGGACAGACGTCTCGATGGTTGATCACTGGACAGATGTCTCATGTGTTCTTCATTAGACAAACGTCCAGTTAGTTGATCATTGAATAGACGTCTCGTGTGCTCTTCGTTGGACAGACGTCTTGATGGTTGATCACTGGACAGACGTCTCAATGTCTCATCTCCGGAATACCGCCGTAACTGTCCATCATCGGACGTGCTCCTGGCTAGTAGCCCGACGAACGCGCTCTTGACAGGCTCGTCGTACGCCGAGGGGCACAGCCTGCCGGCGGCGGCCGGGCAGAGCAGGGACGGGGGCGAGGGCGCCGCCGGAGTGCGGGGCTGGGGGGCGCGGCAGGCCGCCCCGGGCGACGCGCACGCCCCGAACCTGCACTCCGGGCCGCGGTTGGAGCAGGCGGCGGGCGGCCGGGGTCTTGCCTGGGGCGTGCGGCCGCAGGCGGGGGGCGGAAGGGGGGGCGCCGCACAGCAAACAGGCGTTGGGGCGTGGGCGCGCGAGCCCAAGGCGCGTCGGCCAGCGCCGAAGGGCGCGGGACCCTGAGCGGAGCTGCGGATGCCGGCCCGAGGCGACGCGCGTCTGGGAAGGGGGCAGCTGGGGCGTGCAGCCCCACGGGTGGGCGCGGGCGCGGGTGCGGACCGATGGAGGGCGGCGGGCGGCACGTGTTGGGCGCGGAGTCGGAGCGGGGCGGGAGCCGAACGGGCAGCCCGCGCCGGGGCCCAAGCAGCCGTCGGAGGGGCACGCGGCGAGCGAGCGGGTGACGGAGGCGGCTTCCGCGGGCAGGGGGCTCGCCGCCGACGCGCACTCCGCCGAGGGCGAGCCGCGGGGCTGGCGGGGGCGGGGGCAGGGGGCGGGGCGGGCGGTGCTAACGCCCACGGCAGGGGCGGAGACGCGCCCGGGCAAGGCGGCCCCAGCTTCTTGGCACGCTCCTCACCTGCGAGACGGCCTGCGCCAGGAACTGCGAAAGCTCGTTGGAGGGCCGGTGGTGATGGCGGCGGCGGACTTCTTCGGCGCTGCCTGACTCGGCCGCCCCCGCCGCCCCCGCCGCCGCAGTCCATGCCGCTGCGCGGGACAGCCTCGCGGATCCTGGAAGACAGGAGAAACGCGCGCGCAGCAGCGACGCTCTGGACCCGGACTTTGTATCTTCACACAATGAGGAAATGTTGATTCCGAGTGCGTCAAAGACACTTTGAAGGATATTATCTGGGAGCCATGGGCTATAGAAGAATGTTGTCTCTGTGGGCCACATATAACTATACTTTATTGTTGAAAACATTTTCATATATTTCTAAAAATAGTATTAAAAATTAAATTGAATATCATGTATGTGATTCACACATGAGGGACACCGGTGATCCTCTTGGCCTGACACATATTTAAAAAAGGATCACCAGTGGGCTACATTTTTTTGAAAGAGTGAGTAGTTATTCAAACGCAATGATATTCAAAGCATATCAAAGAAAAACAAACAAATACCTATTTTTTTCAATTATCACGATAAGGAACTATTCAATAAAAAACTACAAAACAAAGTACATGTAACAAATATTATACAATATAAAGTAATTATTATATTCTTAGCTCTCATCCTCAAAATCTTCATCATCGCAATCAATATATTTCTGTTTAACGATTCTCTCATGCAGAACTGGTTCAGAATTATCACTATAGCTAACGTCAGTTGAATCGCTGCTAACGTGCGTTCTATCTAGCAGTACTTGATTTATCATATCCTCAAATCCTTTTCTGTCTTTACGTAATACAAAACTGATCACGTAGATTTATTTAGGAAAAAACAACAACAATAAAAACTGTATGTGACGTTTGGTGAAGAATATTATCTGCGCACGTTTTCTTGTGTTCCAGAACCCCTACCCGTCATTTCAACTATAAATAGTTGAAAAATGAGTAAAAGTTTAAAGTAATTAAATAAAAATAAATTTTAAAAAATCCCGAGATTAAATTAATTTTACATTATATTAAACTTTAAATTACAAAGGAAAACAAACAAACTATAAAAGAACTAAATTGCGTTGTTGTTCGTATGAAATGAGACGAAAAAGAGAATAAGTGTTTCTTCCTTCATACGTGACTACCTGCACCCTTACGATCACATCAAACTAAAGGAAGCGCTCTATAAATCTTCAAAAAGTTCTACATATTAAATAAACAGAAAATTTAAAAAATCCAAAACATTGTTTGGTATCGTTCAGTAATTATTTTCGAAGACTAACGAAATGAGGGAGGTGTACAAATTCTGGAACAATACAATCACCATTCATTGTAAGCCAGATTCAAATAGTATGTTTCTAACAATGTAATTAAAATGTTTTATTTTTATTTAGGTTTAAACATGTATGTTTTTGTGGACTGTAGCTGGAAATTCTGCTATTCCCTTTAATTTTAAAAAAAGTAATACACTTATAATGGTTGAATGTTTTTTAAAGGTAAAAATGAATTAAATCACTTAAGTCGATGTCTAGATCGGCGCAGGATATCAAGTCCTAGCGGAGGAAAAGCATAATCTCGTGAGATTTAGCATGCAGTATACTTTCAGGAATGACTTAGCACATTGCCTGCCGTGAGGCTCACGCGCGTTCTTATTTCAATATCTGTATCCTCCCAGGCGGCTTTCAAATTTATTTAGTTTTAACTTTCTCCGATATAGCGAAGCACAATATACTACAGAATGCACTTAACATTCGAAATCGCCGTAGCAGAAGTTGCTCTGTAAACAACGTTGCGCATGATTGTCAAAGCATCCTTCATCAATGAATGTGTAAGTAAACAAGTGTATTTCATTTTTTTATTGATAATATTAAACTCGAATGCCGTTAAAGCATCTTTTTTCATTGCAAAATTTGCAAGTGATAAAGTGTCATTCACAATGAAAAATAATTACCCATCTTCTATAAGACAAAAACATTCCACAAAACACATGCTATTCAATGAGGCAAGACGAAAGGACACAAAATAAGTTCTTTTGTTGTCATAGCAATTTTGTTTTACGACAAGATTCGCTGCTTTTTTGTTGAAATTTGCTGTCGGTAAACCATGGGGTGAACATACATCATAGACGAAAGAAAAACATCAATTCAAGATCAACGTACCTTTAGTGTATATCCCGAGAAGAATATTGCTTCAAGTGCACTCTTTGTATGAATTGTAGTTGCATGTTTCATAGTTATGATATACATTTTTAAGGTTTTAAGAACATTTTGATCGATGGTTTTTTGTCACACTTTTTAAAATTAGATATTCAAGTAATCATAGTTGAATTTCACGATTACTTTCGGTTGTAAAATTAATTCGGTTAATCAGATATCATTATGAAAAGACTGTAATTTCAATAATTTACAAAATTGTCAGAATATAAAATTGTAAACATTTGTTTTGGTAGTGGTTGTTTACATACTGATGACGGAAAAAGTTGTTGCTTATTAAGTGTAAACAATAATATGTGGTCACTGATATGACGTGCGTATGGTGAAGAAATAAACTTTCTTTAAAAGAAATGTACATTTTGTATTCGAAATTTATTATCCAAAAATATTTCGGTGCTTTAGAAGCTGTGTAAATGTAGTTAAACAATCTGAAGAGTATAATGAAAGTTCAGGAAAAGGTTAGATTAGAATGTCCAACCTGCATTATGGTATAACTAGTGTTAAGAGAATAATAGACGAATAATAATAGAAACCATAGGTTGAGGAAATACTTTCAAATAGAAAATGCACTGATTGATGTTCTTACAAATAATAGTAGAATTGAAATAATTATTTCACAAAAGCAAGCATTGATACTTGGTATTAGAGACATATTTTGTTTTCGTAAGTAGATCTGAGTAACGCGAAGTACTCTTAACAAAAATAATTATTCTCGATGGGGAAGTTGTTCAAAATTTAGAAAATGTCTTCCAACTGGCTAGTTTTCCACGTCTCTCTACCAGAGGCAAATCTACATTAGAATTCCACATACAGGTACAATTTCAATGACGGAGGGAATTTGATCTGAAATGTTAGTTTGCATTTTGCTACTTCAAGTGTAGACCTTCAGTTTCTTCCATTATACAGAGTGAGTCATATATAACATATGATACATGACAATATGAATATCATTGTATTCGTCTATTTTCGCTCGTATTGATAGACTATAATAGTTTCATTAAAAAATGTGACCCTAATATCTTGTAAAATACAAGTCATAAAATAGAAATGAAAAACGTAGCAAATAGCCCCATTTTTTCATATGCTTCCGTGAATATTGCATTGCAATAACTTCAACCATTCAAGGATGTACTTAAGTTACGTGACTCACCCTATATATATATATTATGTATAACAGAAACTATTTTATGAAAATAAAATATTAGTTAATGAAGTAAAAAAAAATATCATTGCTGCAATAGTAAATGCTGTGCAGTTCATGGAATAAAAACATTTTTTAAGATGATCATAATGTAAATGTCATACCAGATGGTGGTCAAGTTTTCATATTATTTTATGGAAGGAAATAAGATACATTGGAGACTGATCTGTCGATACTCTGGCTTCATGGTCGGGTCCGATGAGGTTTAAGGGCCATGAGAGTGGAGAATCATTTCATCCTGTGGCTTGGGAAAGTAGCAATCGGATACTTATCAATTGGGGCGAATTTTCATGACCATCGTCAATATGATCAATAAAATGTTCTTAAAATGTTTTTAAAATGCCCTAAACGAAAGAAAAATGATGTAAAAAATTGATCAAAACCAGTTCCGATGAAGCACTAAAGCTGTTGGATGTGTCAAAGATATAATAGAGGCTTCTTTCCGTCGTTCAAGTAAACTCAGCTTGCTACCTTTGGTTTGGACCTTTCTTTACCACCAAATCTGTCTTAAGTTATGCTAAAATCGGCCAAATTGACAATGGCGCTGTTAGGCGTCACAGGAACCTTAAAAATACAATAGAGTAAAATGACGTTAAATCTGTTACAGTACGTTTGCACTAACCCTTCTAAATGTTAAACAAATTTGAGTATTTTTTGAGAAATTCTTGTTTTTATATATTTTTTTTAATATTGCGCATTCTTTAAGCAATGTGGGCGAGTTGAACGTATTCGGTATAGGGCGCGTACTCAGCCAATGAGGTGAGCTGAATATATTCGGTACAAAATATCTCCAACATCTTACATACATTTTATAATATTTCACTTATTCTTGCAGGTATAACTTTTTGTGTAATATTCATCTAAAAGTTGAATCTGAAATTTGTTATTTTTTTCGTCCCTTGGCAGAAACTATTTTGCTTACCCAGACAAAAACTCACGCCACGCCGCTGCTAAACACAGCAACTGAGCTTGCTAATTCGTACGATGTAGATGCGGATTTCCTCTCATCTACACGCAGCGAAGAAAGATATCTGTTCTTTTAGGAGCAGGAACGTGGACAGCACAAATAATCCGAACGACAATTTCCACGTATTTTTTGTTACTATTATTGACAACACGATTTCGCCTATGTCGGAAAGTTTTCGATTGCCTAAAGAGAAATGTGATTCGTTTATTTTTTTAACTCGCATGACTTACAAAACTAGCAGAGATAAGACATATTAAAATACTTTGGATCTAGAATTCAAACTCACTTAACTCATACAGTTAATCCAAAGGCTATAAACGCCACAGAACTTGCCAATAGTAGCAAATGAACTAAATTTAATCACGAAATTTCTCAAATCAAAATCCTCACCACCAGGTCATTCCCTAATATTACAAATTTTATTAACATTTCCAGTTATAGTAGCCACCGGAGAAATATCATTTCCAAAATCAAAAGTTATTTAAAATTTTTTACACTCAACCATGTCACAAGAAAAATTAACAGCAATGATATCACTTGCAAGTGAAATCGGTCACAAGGTTCACATAGAACAGGAATGTCTAACCTTTTTCTTCCATCGCCCTTTTTTAAGAGAATTGTTTGTTTCATCGACCCCCCTAAGTTTTCTCAATAATATGCAGCATCCATAATCATGACACAAAGAATTGCACATAAATACTTTTAAGATAACAATTTCGAACACAAATATTCTCCTAAATACCTCGATTTTCAATAATCCAAAAGGTTTTTGCTCAGGGCTCATGTATTTCCACCATGGCTCTTATTCTCTTATTCTGTGTACCTTGCATTAGATTTTGGATAGCTGAGTTCTCAACTCCATTTAAATGAAATGGATACAAAGTGTTGAGTGGTTTTTAAAAACTGGCTAAACATTTCTCCAGAGCGAATTGCCGAGAATATTTCCTTGTGCGTTAGTGTATCGTTCTGAATGCATAGTTATAATTTCTTACGTTTTCTAAACATTCTAAGTCCTAACTATGGACCACGGATAATACGAAATAAGGATAGTGAAATATGTCATTTATTATTGTTGTAGGTTTTCTGCATTATATAAAAAAAGCGTTATTTAAATCGATGCGATCTTGAATATACTGAATAGACACCGCTTCATATTTGGTTATTGACCCTCCCTCTATCCTTCGATCATCTTTGACCTATTTCAAACATTTATCGACCCCCAGGTTGTCTACACCGACCCTGTTGGAATACCTTGATCAAGAGAGTATCATAAACAAAATTTTAAGTTTTAAAGTTCAAAAATTGCCTTTGTAAAATGTTATACTATTGGACTTTATACTTATGTTAATTATATATTATGGTATATTTTATATTGTACATAGATATTATTTAATAAATACATCTGTAATAACACCTGAACACTTCTTGTATTTTAAACAATTAATTTTTCCTACCATTAAAAGTATGTTATTATAGTATTTCTTAAAAGCGGCAAAATGTACTTGCACCAAGGCAGCAAACCAGTGCACGACGGCACTGGGAGTAACCCATCCATATCTTTCCATCATGACTACGGGGCGCCGAGAAACTACATGCGCCGAGAAACGTCACAGGAACCTTAGATTTCATTACATTCACACCGGCTGACATTACAGTATGTGAGCGAAGAAATCGATTAGGTTACTCAGGAATTTTGTGGTTGAAATTTGTTGCACCTTGCCATTATTCGTTGAAGTTGCCGATATTCCATTAAAATATTACAATCGATGGAATCAGCGAAAAATGCAGTAAAAATTACGTAAAAGTTAAATTATTAATTACTTTTGGAAATCGACGACAAATGCAAAAAAGACACAACAATGGGCCATTTTGTTTGGTCTTAACATAAAATGAATTTCTATACTAAACTGCATTGTTTTAAAGTGAAAAGAAAAATGACATTTCATTAAAAATCCGCTTCCTAATCATGACATGATCATTATCGATTGCTGTAACGTTTCTCCGTGTAAAATCTCCCGATTGCAATAAAGAGATAAATGGGAACCGAGTAGGTTTAAAAGCGGCAAATACACATTTCAATAAACTGCAAGTAGTTCAAAACGAATGTCTCAGGGCCGCCCTCCGCGCCCCATGATACATTCCCATTCAAAATTTACATTGCCATTTATCAATGCCACTGCTGATTATCAACATTTTTGGAAAAAGCAGCTGACTCGAAAAACTCTCATTTCCGAAACACCTCATACCAATCCGATCAACGGATGATGATGTACCAAAGCACATCCTGGAGTAAGAGTAATCTGAAACAGAGACATGAGACTCGAAACATACCATTTCTACACAAGCAATGCGCACGCTCGTTGGCTAAAGTCATTTTGAATTGAATTGAATTATTGCCTTAGTTTACGTGGCGAGACTCAGGCCATTAGGCCTGCTCTTCCGTCTGACCACACAAATTTCGCTACGCTCCTTTCACCAACTAGCGGAGAAAGGAGGTATTTCTTGGGCGAGAAACAGGGGATTTTAATTTTGTCCAGAGGCGTCATTTAGGCTTGAGGATCTTTTAAATACAAGTAAATCTACGAACATGGGACCAGCCGGCGTTACTTCACCTCCGAAGGCGTATGAATAACTTTAAAAATCCACGGCGGTTTGAACCCGCCAACTTGGGTACAGTCCAGTACGCTTACCGTTACACCATCGCCGCCGCATGTTGGACTTTGTTGACTTTGGATTCTGTTTTTCTTTATGTTGCAGGCTTGGCCATAGATGCCCGTAAGATAAGAATAGTCGCACCGCAGTGGCGTGAACGTGCAACTTTCCGTGCGTTCACAAAACTGCACAAAGGGGGCTCTGCAGTAGGTTTAATACAATGCTCATCATACTTATATGATGCCGTCAAAATGAATTGTGAAGTTGTGCAGTTGGTAGTGCTGTAGCTTCTTTGTTCACAAGAGTGTGGCTTGTAGCCTGTTTTGAGACGACATAATGATAGTTCATCATCCGTGAGGAGTGTACATACCAGTGTACATTACCATTTTGTCAACACAAAGGTAAACCAACCTCACAGTTCTCAACTTGTCATACGTATTGGTAAGTAATGAATTTTAGAAAAGTCATGAATAAAATCAAAATTTTCCGAAGTGTGAAAAAAAGTCGAATTTCTTGAAATGTTTCAAAGATTTTAGGAAATATGGCAGTGTACTGAAGTAGTTTTACCACCCCCCCCCCATTTTACATTTATGGCGCTATGCTAAATACATATATCATGTGAATAGCTAGTGTGAAATAATATAAGAATAATACGTACTAATATAAGTAAATTGGTAGCGAGATATATTATTTACTTTGTATGTGACCGTAAGTCTGAATGTGCTTGGCTTAATGCTTGCTTAATGTGAATTGAAGCAAATTCTTTTGTGACATTAAATCTGTGCCAAGATGGCAAAACTATATGTCACTTTTTCATGACATGAGACAAAAAATGACAAGTCAATCTTGTTTGTTAATGTTTAGAAGTAGGAAAAATCTGCATTTCCCTTGTAGTTTATGAAAAAAGAAACAATGGTGGAAAATTGCAATAAGACAAAAGCCACAGTAATTTTTCATGACATTTTGATGCTTAACATTTCTGTCATTGAATACTTTTAAGGTAACTTATAACATTTTGCCATCATTGCAAAGAAATATTAAGAACTTTTCTGTTGACATGTCAACATTAACAAATCCTACATGTCACTAAATTCTTTAAAAAAATACTTAAGCTCCTTTTTACTTGTAATACTGTGGCAAACTATGGATTTTTTAGTTTATTTTTTACATGAACAATTTCAATTATACAAGATTTGTTATATTGCATGAATTTACAACAACGTTAACTATTTGGTAAGAAATATTTTACCCAATTTATTTGTAGAATTAATAAGCTAAAATAGTTTTAAATGTTTTAATTAAAAAATCAGAAGTAATTTATAAATGCTTTTTACCAGTTTCTAGACACTGTTTCTTATGAGAATTTCAATTGCCTAATAAGCATTTAAGAGATAATTTGTTCATCTATTGAGATTAGATTATAATTGTTCTTAGTCTAATTAATTTTGGATATGAAAGTCCATTGTTAATTTAACCAATTGTAGAACCGAGATTTCTTGTTTTGTCATAATTTCCCTTTCTTCCAGGAATCACAAAAGAAGGCTCTCAGAAGAGAAATGGAGGAACAAAAAGGAGGTGGAGGTGTGGCTAAAGATGTTTTTCTGAATGATGAGTTTTCTATGGATGCAGATGTAAACTGTACAATTGCTCATTTAACATGTGATGCAAAGACAAATAGAACAGGTAAGCCCAAATAAGTAATTGAAGATTTTATTCAATGAAAATCATCATATGCTACACTGTATTTCTAAATGTGAATAATTTACTAAATATATTTGGCTTCTAATAACCGATATTGTTAAATGTACAGAACTGTCAGTGTAATTTAAAAGAATATGGATTATTTTCATCTTCCAAAATCCATTTTCCTGTGCAAGTGGTTACACTCCCTTTAATGTAAAATATTTAAAGGTTTGATACCTGAAGTATTCATAGTATTTTTTATTCTTCTAAATGAAAAAATAACAGATTTTTACATATTCTTTCATAAATATTTAGTAATTACCAGATTTTGATTTTTCAGAAATATATTTTAAATATAATATTATTAATGCACTGTTGAATTTCTTTCATTTAGGGGTAAATATTTGGACATTGTTATGAAGTAGGCATATATAAATGCTAAAATATCAACATTGCAGGTTTACTGTTTTTGTAGCCCAAAATTTCCTTCGTAAATTTTATTGATGGCTTAAATCTTTTTGGTTAACTCAACTTCCACAATTTATTAGTTTGTGTATTCTCAATTTTGAAAATGTGAGACATCATTCATTGTGTTCCAACAAGATCAAAAGTTAATAAGTTGTAACAACAGAGTAGTTTATTGATAATACGTTTATCTAATGGGAGGAAATTATGAGCTGTCTATAGTTAGCCCTTAAGAACACTCCTCTGTAATAGATTTTTGTTCTAAAATTACATTAGCATGGGATAAATAAGTAATATTCACTTTTCCATCTGCTTAAGTGATGAAACGCTTCAAGAGGAATATTAATGAGAACATGAAAGAAAAAATATTGAATCGATAAAACATCTTTTAGGTATGCTTTTATAGTCTGTTGTGAGGAGCAAGTCTTGTTTATTTAGTGCTAGTTGTGTTTATTAATGTAAATTATAGTAATAATTTAATAACCAGTAAAAATGTTCTTAAAAATGAAGAAATTGATCAGATTTTAATCTACTTTTTTCCCATTGTATACTGGCTGTAAATTCATTTACAATTTCAAATTGTTATGTTTTAATCAGTAGGCAATATTGACAATAAAAAAAATTCTTGTTAATCCTCTGCTTTTTAAACATTGATGGTGTTTCATGTAAAATTTGTAAATATATGTTTGTGAACAAATACAGTTTTTATTATCGAGGAATAAGCCCGATATAAATACTACTTTCTTAAAAATTAGTGTACCTATACAATAGTGTGCATTGATATATGAACAATCACCAATGAAAAAACAATGTTAAATAACACAACATTTCTATCCTTTTGTGTTGTGTTGTACTGATCTTTTTAAATTTAATTTGTTTTCACAATTTGAAGTTGGAAAATTGGCAAACATTTTTTAAAAGAACTTCAAATAGAGCCCTTCGATGTGTAATCTAGAATTGAGTATATCTTGATTTACAGAATGAAGTGTGAAATTTATTAAATGAATGATTACCAATATTTTAGTATTTCATTGGAGAAAAATGCTAGTTGTTAAATATCTATGAATTTGATAATACTTGTTATAAAGATAAGTTAGCTCCATATTTCATATATTATTCAATTGGAAAATTAAACCATTTTTAAATATTGCTTTGCTTACTTAAAGTAATTTCAGTTTTGTGTTTTCAATTCTTATTAATCAAAGATATTACATTTTCACTTGCAGACAGATACTTCGGACTTCGAGTCGAAAAAACCTTGGCATTGTCATCTAATAAATATTTGATTGATATTGATACGTTTGTGGTTATGATTATTGCAAAATATGATTTATTGTAGGCAGTGGCGTAACTAGCTCTTCCGGAGCCCCGGATCAAAAACTACTTGGCCCCTCCCTCAATACAATTTGTTCTACTAAAAACTAGTGGTTCTACAACCACATACTTTCTCACATTGTTGGAATCAGCTACCTAATTTGGAAATATAGCCATTTCTGCGCTACTAACACCTCAGTTATTTCTCGAAAACGTCCAATTCAACCACATTTGTGCTGTATATATGCATTCATTTCGTACTTTTACAAATGAAACAAACAGGAATAAATGAACTGTTACAGTGTTTGCAGGCAAAGTATACAGAAGTCAGCAGCGCATTGTTGCCAGCGTGACGTCAAAACGTCCATTGCGAATGTCCAATTTACCATTGCGAATTTTTTCCCAATCAACTCCAATGCATGAACGCTTTTACCAATGATAAATTACCGTATCATTCATAATCGAATACATGGTTTCCGAGTGATAGCGCCGTGAGATCTAAAAGTTCAGGAAAATACTTTGTAATTAACGACAGACATTCCCACCGTGCCAAGATTTGCGTTGCAAGATGCAGCGCTGCCAGATGATTAAATGAATGTTCCATTTCAGAAAAAAAAAACTTCCCCAACTCCTGGTATTTCTCTAAAATTCCTGCTACTAATGTCATTAAATTTATATTCTAAAATTGTTCATATTACAACTATTATGTTTTTAAAGTTCACAGGAAGTCCGTTAAACTTCTCTTGATATCCATTCATTTTATATCGATAAACTAAACAAGACTAAGACGTTCTATCCTTTTCTACTGTAACATTTGCTAGTAAAAGACCATTCTGTGTCACCCTTAATGTTTATACGACAGTGTTTTACGAATATCATTGTTATTTGTAATATTTGAGTTAGATTTAAATAATTGAATAAAACATATTAAACGAAGCGTAAATCGAACATCATCAACCTTAGACTTCAAATCCTGGTATTAAAATCGTGGAAAAATACTTTGTCCCTGGTATGTCTTGCAATATTATATTTTTGAAAAATGTCTGTTTGAGGAGACAAATATGTATATTAATTGTAATTCCAAGAGAAATATGTCTCATTAAGAAATAAAATGAAATAATTATATATATATATGTCGTCATTGACAACAATATGATTTATTGAAGTAGCATCTTTCGATGGTTTTAGCTATCATCATCAGTTTTCTAGTATAAGAAGAAAACAAAAAATATTCACGTTTTAATGTTTTTTGTTTTGTTCTTGTACTACAACACTGATGATGGATAAGCCATCGAAAGCTGATATTTTAATAAATCATATAGTTGGCAACGAAGACACATGTAATTATTTCATTGGAAATGCCAACAAAAACTCACCACAATACCAAAGATATAAAATATTTATAATAATTTAAATATTAAGGAAACACGGTGCATTAACACAAAATGCACTAAAATGCCAAGTAAAATAATCGATTTTCTGTTCTGTCAACTGGCTCTTCTGGACACTTGGTAATTGGCATATTATCGAGCACCTAATTAACAACGATTTTTCAGAAATTTCCGGGCTCTTGAATATAACTTGAAACAGCTATATTGCTATTTTGCGAACTGTGAACGTGTCAAACAAAGCGCGGGAAATTTGAATTTACCATTTTGAATTCCAATTTTCGAAAAGTCACTGTGTTCCGCACTTCTTTCTTAACCGTTCTTTGCTACATACCATTGGAGCCATTTGTGAGCAAATAGTTTAAAATTCCAAAATTGTCAGTGTTCGATGCAAAAAATCATATTTTCGAACAACTTAACATGATCTAATTTGAAGATCAGTTTTTGATGATCACATTTAAATAAGAATATAAATTTCATCTTCGTAATTGTAGTTGTAGGAAAACTCCGAAAAAGTTGAATTTTTGTAATTTTCGAAAAATTAGGGATTTTTACTAAAAAGAGGCCTTCGACAATTTCATAAACATCCTTTGCGCTATCCGACGACGAAACAAAATTCAATAATTTTTTTCTAATTTTGAAAATGTTCCGGAGTCTTCCTGGAAAGTAGCGCCCAAAATTAAAATATCAGTTTAAAGTTAAAGAGTCCGCGACATCAGATGGACCAATTGTGAAATATCAATTTTGAAGAAAATCGACTGAACAGTATTGTCACTAGGGGTTGCTTTCTTGCAATTTTCAAACAGATGGACGGACAGAATTTTGCCGTCAATCGATTTTTCGGTACTAAGGACCCACATAATGTGAACTCTGGCTACACTGCGTGGTAGAGTATTTTTTCTGAACTCAACTGAATTTATCTACTTTTTCGTTAGTAGGGCGCGGCAAAAATTTGTTCAAGTAATATTAATAATAAAAATTTCAAGTTTTTGTGCATGCAGCATTACATAACTTTCTCTATACTGCGTAAGCAGTAGCAAGAAAATACGAAAAGCGTGCTGGAAACTAAACGAAACTTGATTAATCATAATCACAAAATTCAGGGTAGAGTTCTGAGGATTTTCGCTTTGACGACTAATCTATAAAGTCATTCATGTTCGGTTTCAACGAGTTTTGTCACTTAACTCCCTATGGACAATATGCTAAGTGTTAAAAAAAAATTGAGGGGATCCCGAGGAGGTATAACCGTATATGAAATTTGAAACTTTGACTTGAGGGTTCAATTTAATGGAATTTTTTCAAATCACGTAAAATGAAACAGAGAATAGGGCACCCACAACTTTAAATGAAGCAATAATAATTGGTCCCTCGAGATGTCAAATTACAAACATGAGAACCATTTTCGAGTCCTCATCATAAACTACGTAATTCGAACTTTACACTAGTCTATTTATAGTAATAAAGAAATCGCTTTCAGAAGATGTCTTTAAATTGTGTTGAGTTACGCAAAAATAAAAGTTTGCTTTAGGGGACCTCTTGTGTCCGGGGGCCCCAGATAACCGCGCCTTCCAGATCAGCAGTAGTTTACGCCACTGAGAGTCTTGCAGCAAAGCAAAACTGCTGCTGAACAAAAACTGTTTTCCAAAAAGTATCATGCATGCTACTCAAACACAACAAATATAACACTCATATAATTAATACTGCAATACACAAGATACTTTAACAAAAAATGCTCATGAATACAGCAATAAACATAGTAGAGAATATATAGGATACAGTACTGCAGTTTTTCACATATCAAGAATATGAGTTCAGTTCCATAACACAACACAACACGTAAATAGCAAAATTTACTTGTAATGAAGGGTGCTGTGTTCTTTGGAGACTTGCTGTCACATGGCATCTGCTCTACGATGTGACGTGGTAAGCAGTGACGTCCTGAGTATGATAAATTCTGTTGTTTGTGCGGTATGAGGCTAGGTGGAAAAACACAAATATTTTTATTTTTCCGTCAAAATGGAATCTGTTTAATTGTTTGTGTTTTTTCTAAGTTCCTGTGTATCTAACAAAACTAGACATTTCTCACATAGCAGGAGGCCACGTAGTTTCCTCTCGATTGGAAATTATAAATGTAATATATGTAGTAATATAAATGAGTTTGCTTGTAAACAGCCAAACTTCCTGGAGTTTTGGGATGGAACACAAAACTCATGTTTTTCTTATCTGTCTTGTCTCATCAATTGGCGGTGATTTTGAATTTTGACATGTGTTAGTAGGTTAATGTTATTGTTTAGTGAACATTTTGTTGCAGATCTGGAAATGTCTCAGATGCATGAAGAATTATCGTTTGAGAATGAACTCAAACTACTAGAACTTGTGATATCAAACCCTGATGGAAACCATGTTTTGTTGCCCACTGTAAGTTGATGAAAAGAGAGAAATTGTAAAAAAATATTGTTTTGGTGTTAATTAGTTTTTCTCAGTTATGTATTTATCTTAAATCATAAAGCAGTGCCTTTATGGCCATAGATTATAAGATATATAGTCATATTTACTCGTTTTCAGCATATACTAGATTTGAAAGACCCCGTATTCAGTGTACTGCTAAACATGTAGCTAAACTGTTCTTCTGAGCTTGTACTACAGCTTATAGTAGTTTGTTATTGCGAAATAAGTAATTACATCTCTCCAGAATATTTGGGAATATTGGGAATCCTCTGACCGCTTACACTGCACTGCCTAGAAACTATTTTTGAAATGTTCCCTTACAGGCTGTGTTGAGGCTGCGAAATATTGCTTAGGTAAATTGGGAGAGCATTAGCAGAAACTACAAAGAACATCGCCTTCTATGTTTTCATCAGACGAGAGAGTTCTGGAAATAAAACGACACATAATTGACAAAGATAATGACTGTGCCGAAGGAATCAATGTGTATTGAAGAGATTGTCATGGTTACCTCCGTCCGGACGAAAATAAAAGTTTTCTTTACGAACCTAACGCTTGGTGCTTACAAACGCTCGCCGCGTTTTGGCGTTTGAGGTCAAGTAGAGTACAGAAATGTGCTGAGAATTGCCTGGCAGCACGCCGAATCCAACTTACAATGCGCCCAACACAATTCACTTAGCTTATGAGCACGATGGCCACGAAATTGTCCGAGGTTCCTCTGATTTTCATGACAATGCGAGCTTGTCGTGTCTGATGTGGAAAAAGTTGGATCCCGAGAAATCTGACAACGGGTAAATGTTTCGTCGCGGCCACCCAGGAGGTGGAGCAATCTTTTGAAAAAAATGAGTATATGGTGAACTGGAAAGCAATTCACACGGCCTTTTTTGAGCAAAATTCCCGGGAAATTCCGCAGCGGGAAGTTTGAAAATTTGAATTAATTTGGCGGTCAATGTGCCAATAGGTTGCGTTGCGATAATTGATGGTAAACTACGCGCACGTTTTCTTGAGCCCCGGAATACCTACCCCTACTCCTTTGCCAACATTGATTGAATGAAGTATAATTGAGGATACGAGCGTTGTAGACAAAATCTGATAACTGGAAATGTTTTCTCTCGAATAATAAAACTATTTTGCATCGAAAAATAAACTACAAATTTTTATCTTTTATTATTTTTGTCAAAATATTGGATCTCCCCACTCCTCGCAACTAGGGAAACGAGGACTCAAGAAAACGTGCGCAGATAATATATTGGTTTCTTTATTTGTAATACTATACATTGTTCTGATACTTTATAGTTCTTGTTTTTCATTTTAATTTTATTCTACCGGGAGAGATGGCTCAGGGAATCAACTGATGTCACTGCAGTCCCTCTGATCGGGAGGTCCTAGGTTCAAGTCACGTTGGTGTCAGAATTTTCGACACAAGCTTGTCAGCGAAGTCGAATTCAATCGCTGTCTGGAGGAGATTTCCAGGGGCCGACAGCTCTGATCGGTAATTTTCCGTAGTTTCTCCGATCAACTCCAGGCGAATGTAGGAGCAGTACCCTAATAAACGGGACACGGACCGCGCGCGATCTTTCCTTCCTCTTCCTATCCTCGCCCCTTACACACACTGACATGCACTATACTACCAAACATGCCGGGAAACCGGTCGAGAGTTTAGAGCTTCTTCTGGATGGGGTTGTGCCCCGCTAGTAGGAGATACCTGGTTGGGGTAAATCCGGCTAGACGACGGTAGGTCGGTGATGGATCTTGCCATGCAGAGGAGGGAAAGATCCCGCCTTCTCCCGAGCAAAACCAAGCACAACTACACTTACCGGACTCATGACCCTAGTAGTTGACGCACCCGAAATCACTAACAATCAATTGGAATTAAAAACTACTGTTTTAGTTCATATTTAATTGTATATGTTAGTTTGATATTGAATAATAATGACATTGCATTTTACTTTCTCTACTTACTATGTACTTACGTAGTAAAGAGAAGGTATTGTAATGATGCGGCAAAATTCGTAGTTTTGGACAGAAAACGTCGTATTGTAGGGTCCTGTTATCGGAAAAGTGTTAAATCATGTTTCTTATTGCAGCAAATGACATCCTCTAACACGCTGTGTCCTTGATACCGAAAAAAATTGACATAAGTCGTTGGACCATCCTTCTTGTCCGTCCGACTAGCCTATTCCTACCGACCGTTTGACTGTCCGTTCGTGGTCATCGCTAAAACACTCGCCCATCATTTTCTCCTGAATTGATATTAGCAGATCAATCTGAAATCATATCCAGATCAATTCTGCCAGCTGCGTTGCCAAATTAAATGTATATCCTAGTGCCAACCGTCAAACATCTTGGTACTTACATTAAAATTGCCAGTATTATACGCGCACGTTTTCTTGAGCCCTACCCCCACTCCTTTGCCAACATTAGTTGAATTAAGAATAAATGATAGCAACGAACCTGATAACCTGAATGTTCTCTCCCGTGTAATAGAAACTATTTTGCATCGAAATACGAACAACAAATTTGATGGAAAATTCCTTTCGTCAAAATACCTCAACTCCCCACTCCTCTCGCAACTAGCGAAGAAGAGGCTCAAGAAAACTTGCGCGGATAATACCAAATGCAATTGATTTAAATTCTGAAATTATTCATATTTCATATTATTCATATATCATTTCACTCTATTATGTTTCCAACGCACGTAGGAAATGCCGTCCGTCCGTCCGTCTGTCTGTCCGTCCGTCCGTCCGTCCGTCCGTCTGTCCGTCCGTCCGCCTGTCCGTCCGTCTGTCCGACCGTCTGTCCGACCGTCTGTCCGACCGTCTGTCCGACCGTCTGTCCGACCGTCTGACGATTCGATACTGATAGCCTTGGCAAGGAAATAGATCGAAAAATATATATAACAGTAATTATTAAACACTACGGCAATGTAATATTCTACAAATGTATAAAAGGATTAGTTTTTATTACCGTAAACCAAAAATAGTCATCGGCGCCTTTTGTTATCCATGCGTCGTCACAACAATGGGTGTTTACCAACAATGACGGCTCATCTTTTCGTTTTCACATTTAACTCGATGAAAGGACGCATTTATAATATAGTAAATAAAAAATGAAATAATACACAAATTCTAACTTACGTAGCTTTCAACTGCATAAATTGTTAGTGGGTTACTGAATACAAACAATGGTTATTTCATATTTATTTCAAATGGGTTTTAAATAATTTCTAAAACTTATTTTGTGAACGTATAACAGAAGCTCCAATTTAAGATAACAAAGAAATATGGAATAATATACTTTCAAACCTACGTAGTATTATCCAACTGCCTCAAAACATCTAAAATTACGATTAAGATGCTCAGCATTTTCAGAATGGGCGACTAACTTTGACGTCCAATTATTCCATAAATACTCATATTTTCGAAAAATTCAATATTTCGTTATTTGAAAATCTGTTTTTGATAAAAAAATTTCATTGAAAAAGTTGTATCTTCATATTTGTATTGATAGGAAGAAGCCGAAACATTTTTGAATGTTTTCAATTATTGATAAATGAGAGTATGAAAGAGCGGTTTTTGAAAAAAAAATGTTTAAACTAAAATGTATCCACTTTTTCGTTACCGGGACTCTATTATAAGAGTTTTTCTGCCGAAAATTCGCCGTTTTTTCGCGCTTATTAAGAAGTTCCTTCTTAAGCGCGAGCTTAAGCAGGTTTATTAACAGTAAATATTGGGTAAAAACTAATCCGGTTGAAGCAGTCGGTAGACACTCCAATTTTAGCCCACTTCTAGTCATATGAGATACCCTTTACATTCTTTGTATAGAGGACCATGGAGGGGAGAGAAATAGAAAAAACGTCTGAAAAGGAATTCCTAACATCTTATAACCCTACTGAAAGTAGAGTGAGTTAAAAAATATTTATGCCTAAAATACGCATTACGTATCGTTGGTACATTAAGTAAAACGTGAACTCATTGAATTTAGTGGCAAACGCTGTGATCGTTTAAAAGTTTGAATTAAAAAACTTATTTTGGAGCTTCGTTTCGTTAAGAAGTTTTCCAATGGTAGTTGAAGTGTATGACGGAAAATGTCATATTATATTACATAGCCGTTAACAGTATTATTAGTAAATTAGCATAATTAAATGTAACTTCAAATTAACTTCTCCCCAGAGCACGTCACACACAGTTTTTAACTGTTTTTGCCGTAAATAAATAATGTCCGAATGTTTGAGCCGTCGTTCAGAGAATTCTGTCCAAATTACATGGACATATTAAACGTAAATATTTTAATGTAAGGCATATATATATATATATATATATATATATATATATATATATATATATATACACACACACCTTACATTATATAGCCAGGGGGAGCTGGGATAACGAACGAAAGGCTGACGGACAGTGATAGTGGGTATCGCACACTCGATCTGAAATACCCTCACAACGACCGGGGCTGGAGCCAAGCTGCCATCGTGTAACCGTTGCGAAGACCTGAGGGTAGGCGCGGGCCTCCGAGCTAAGGTCGACCACCCGAAGGGCTCCGAGGCGAGCCGAAGGCCGCCGATCGCCGCTGCCGGGGGAACATCCAAGAAGGAACAACCGGTTCTTGGAACTTAATATATTTTTGAGCTCACATGTATGTTTTGGTACCAAAACGAGAAATCACTTGATTGCAAATGTATTAATTTGTGTTCTCATAGTAATAAATTGATTATTTCTTTGAAAACTGATAGTTGAGTTTTTCTTTCAATACTTTTGTCAAACCCTAGAGGCCCATTCACGAGCAAAGACACCTGTACCTTCAAAATAAATGTAGTGAACGCATTGAAGGTACGTCTCTCTCTCTCTCTCTCTCTCTCTCTCTCTATATATATATATATATATATATATATATATATATATATGTGTGTGTGTGTGTGTGTGTGTGTGTGTATGTGTGTATTGGAAGAAATGCTTGCATGTGCACTTCAATAATTTCAATGTCGAATCTATTCATTCTATGATTATTTACTCCGCGAGGCAACAACAGTCAAAATCAGACGAATCATGTTTAATTAATCCTCCAATTTGTGAATCTTCTCTTTATGGATATTCCAACAATAGAAGTAAGAAAAAGCATTCAAGTAAGGAATACCGCCGATTTTATGAATCTCTTCAATACAAATTTTAATAAAAAACTGCACGGGTTGAGCTTTGAAGTTTGAAAATTTTTCCAGTGGCATAGGTTCAGTTGGTGCCTCTTGGGGAAAACATGTATCACTTCCCATGAATTAAATTTAACATGTTACTGAATAGTACACTATTTAATCAAAATAAAATAATATTTACTCATGAATTTTATATGTAATGTATTAAAAACTATAAGTAATTCAGAATAATTGATATATAATTATTAAATAATTATATAATTTCAACTATACTTTTTTAAAATTCGCGTCACCCTTAAAATTGTGACACATTGGCGGAGCGCCCTCTCCCCTCTGACTAAGCCACTGTAGCTTCCCTATTATTAATTATATGTGTACATTGCGAATGCAAAGAATTTTAGAGCAAGGAATCTCACAAAATATTAGAAGAGTCTCAGATTTGTCGTTCTGTTGCAGGAAAGCAAAGAGACTATCTGCCCAACAGATAATTTGCAACCCTGCAGAACAGAAACCTCTGTTTCACTGGCGAAGACAGAATTTTCTCAAGTAAGCCGTAGGTAAAATGCCCGTATTTACATCCAAACACGCACACATGCGCACATACCCACATGCGCACAGACGAACATACGCACACTCACTCACGCCCCCTCGCACACACTCGCCCCCACGCCCACCATTTCTTACTTGCACGTAATATAAACACGAACACGCACCCACGACGAGTGGAGTATGCAACACAGATTATGGAAGCCTGTTAAGTGTGTTTAATGTCTGAATTCGGATTTCAGATATACTAATTCAGGATGAAGAATTAGGATTTCAGAAATCCTCATTCTGTTATGCAATGTGATGTCTCAGATAGTTTGGCCTCAACCATTTCAACTGCTAGCATTGATTGCTTCTCCATTCTCAATCTCAACCATTGATTGTTACAGTTAAGCAGAAAGTTATTTCGCAGTAGTTTATCCTTGGAATTTTACTGCCTCTTATATGAAGTTTAGAGAAAGTATTTTCCTTAATATTATAGGTGGTATATTAATTTATTTCAAACGTAGAGTGGTCAGAGTACTTTTTTTGGGGGGGGGGGTCTTTAACCCAAAAAGAGCGATGTCCGCCAAAAAAAATACGCAAGTGACAAAATGCAATTTTGAGTTAAGAAGTCGAAAATATTCCTCTCGACACGTATTTTTATCTAAAAAAACGTCATAATTCTATAAAATTGGCCGCGAGATGGGAGTAATGGTTTGTCTGTCATGTAAATGGAACGTCACCATTTAACATGAGGACAGGTAGCTGAAAAGGGAACATAGCAGCTGTGTCATATGTCGAAGAAGGGTTATTTTAAAAGGATTGATTAAACCTTACGTCGAACTGTACACGGATTTCTAAATCATGTATTACATGAAGTTTTCGTAGATCTTAGGAATAATCAACTTTGAGTAAAAGTCAATGTCACTCTCAAAAGAATGACAAACCTTCAAATGGTTCTCCCGAAAAATTATGTATTTTGATTTGTGTAACGTTTCTTGTGTGCCATCGAGAAGTTTCTACAAAATCTCCCAAAATCTGTTGTCTGTCATCAACAATACCTTCTAAATCGTACACACGTTTTTAATCAAATTTGATAGTCCCCAATCGATATGTGCACATTCAAGGCTCTGCAAATTTGAATCTCATATTTTTATGTGACTGGTAAGCCTGAAAGCTAATTATATTGGGGAATGTCACCATCACTCAGGAGTAAATGAAAACATGTAAATTTAACACATGTTATTAAATCATAAAATAATTGTTACAGAAATTGATAACAAATTGTAATATGAACTATTGGACTTGTTATGCAGGAGGACATGAAGTGTCCTTGCGTTTGATCATTATGAAATTATTAATGACCTTCTCAAACATATAATAACTAGCGTGCCCGTACGAGATCTCTCGCATGTTAATTCCCACCCTTTCGCTCTCCATTTCCCCATTCTTTCCATTAAGAAGAAAAGGGTTTAGTGAAACGTCTTTGTTACAATATGTTTAAATATAACTTCGTACTTACAGAATATCAAACAAAAATAAAAGCAACGCAATTGATGTTCGAAACAAATTTTCAATAAAAGCTTATTCAGTATTATAAAGATATCTTCGCACAATTCACTCTTCCTTAAAAACAACATTCGAAGTAACTGTGAAGGAAGATTGAAATCTTCCTTCATCATTAACTTTTCGCTTTCCTTGATAGTCACAAAAATATTAGAAAAGGCCCTTCTTGGCTCTTAAGAAAGTCAAGTAAAGTTTTCCTTGTTAAAATACAGGATCAGGCAAGTACAACCCTACTCTTTGCAATATTATTTCACTTTCCTAAATTTGTTATGAGGAACAGAGGGGGTTTGGAACGACAGGGCACCATTTCGGAGGTGCGAAAAATGAAAAAGTATTTGAATGCTAAAAAGTACTGGATTATTTTCTGCGTTCTTTCGTACCTCAAGAAATGCAATTCCGAACCAAAAAAATAATGAAACAAATATTGTCACCTTTGAATAATAAATACCATTTGTTACCATTAGAAAGAATTCAGTAGGCTTAAATGTCACTTCGACACTTGAGATTGCTACTCAATAGATGTTTACGTACTGAATATCTTAACGAACCGACTCTTTTAAGTTTAATATCAAACGATGTATTATTTACTATATGAATTTACAGCTGGGCGTTGATATACGGACTTCCAGATACCGCCAAAATGTTCATTTACTTCAAGCTAATTTACTTAAGTTAATTTAAAGTTTCTTCTTTGTGTTGTGCCATAGCATACGTTTTTTCCTAGTACCTCCGCATACCCAACTCTCGTATGTTAAACCCCACACTTTTCCCGATCCTTCTATTTCCATTCTCAGAGGGAACGTTGTTAACAAAACGTATATATTTGTTTAAAAATGTCTAAAGGTGACGTCCAATGTACAATATAAAAAAAGCTAGTGGTGCTACTGAATTGCACTGACTTTTCCGTATTAGTTTTCTACTTCTTTTCGTCTGAGCTAACTATTCTGACTTGCCAACTGCCATCTATTGCCACCCAGTGTACATTTTTTAAAAATTTTCTTAATTTTTCAGTTTCCTAATAGTACAACAGAAATATTATTTTAAGAATATTAAAGAACAGTTCAACTTTGTCCTAAATGCCAATTTTCGTTGCAAAATTGGAGCAGTCTGTTAAGAATATGGGCTTTTAAACGCTACTTTAAATTCGAAATTTGAAGCTCTTTTCACAGAAAAGTTTTGAGTTTTAGAAAAACGTCATTTTGAGTCATTCCAAGTACTTCTACTCACAAATGTAATAATGTTTACAAATTCCTGGAAATGCGCATATTAACGGAGAGAGAAATATTTCAAAACAGTTACATTTGAGTAATTAAAAAAAATAACCCGAAATATATTGAATTTCATGTTAAAGAATGCAATTAGCACTAATATTTCGAAAAGTTTAAAAAGAAAAATTTAGAGCCGTTTCTGAGAAAATAGCGTTTGAGCGTTTCTAAAGAAAATAAATTTTGTATTAGGGTAGGGCGCCAGCTTACTGGGGTACGAAAATTGAAAAATTACCGTATTTGAATACTAAAAAGTATTGGATTATTTTCTGGTTCCTACGTGCCTCAAGAGAAGCAATTCCGTACCAAAAAATGACAAAACGAATATTTTCATCTTTGAGGAATAAATACCATTTCTTACCGTTAGAAATAATTCAGTAGGCTAACCCTTCACTTCGATGAAAATGTTGCACAAACGATATTTACGTATTCAATATCTCAGCGAACCATCATCTCAAGTTTATTACCAAATGATGTATCATTTACAATGTGGATTTACAGCTGGATATTGAAGTACAGACTTACCGCCAACATTTAAATCCTGCGTCTGGATTGTGATCGTTTGCAGTTGTCGAGTGACCTGCGCTATTCTTTGTATAATTTAAAATTTGGTTGCTTTTTAAAATTAATTCACGTAGTATCGTAGGTTATGGTATTTTGATTTTTGTTATTCACTTATTTTAAGCTATTTTACTTTATTTAATTTATAATGTTTGTTCTTTGTGTTGCACCATATCACAATTTTTCCCCTACCACCTCCGCATACCCGTGCGAGAATTGTTGATTGTTAAACCCCACACTCTTCCCTTTTCTTCTATTTCCATTCAAAGAAGAAAACTTGTTAACCAAACGTATTTATTTGTTTAAAAATGTATAAAAGTAACTTCCAATGTACTAACACAATATAAAGTAAAAACAAAAAAACAATGCAAATGATGTTGAAAGCAAATTTTTATGCTGTTTATTCAGTATTATCAAGAGATTTCTTGAAACAATTCACAACACTTCTTTAAAAATATTTCAAGTAATTATTCAATATTATTTGCCTGTTAGCTCTTCGTAATAGTCACAAAAATATTAAAAAAAACTTTTTTTCTTTTAAGGAAGCTACGTGACAACATCAAGACTTGAATATTGTACTGAATCACTGTTAATAATAAAAATATTGGTACAGGTAAAACAAATCAAACCTAATAAGATACGTCTTCACTCTTCCCTGTACACCCACATCTCTCCACAATTATGTACACAGCACTTGTAGACCTCGGCAAAACGTTAAATGATTTTTTTTCATTACACGCATAAGAAACAATATTTATCAAACAACTATTAATAGTACTTCTAGTTGTTGCTGCGAAAGCGATGTTGAATTAATAATTATGAAAATAAACCTCTTCAGTCTGCGTAAACCACGGTGTACACAGAAAGCGTAAATAGTATAAGACGAATCTAAGCCTTCTAAGCGTGACGTCACAAAGATGGCCACCATCACCAAGGGTTGAAATGTAGGTAGAATTTTATTGATAAGCACGGAACAAGAAAAAATTCTATAATATGTCCAGGAATATCTCTTCCTATAGATTACGGTGTGATGAACGTTTATTTGAAGCCTTTGATTTCAAAATTGTAGTTTTTAAGATCCTAAAACGCTTAGTTTAGGATTTATTTAACGATATAGCTGACTGAGTTCTGCGAGTTGCATATGATTTGCATATTTATATTCGTTTTTTAAACAAATCCTACATATTTTTGAAGTCAAAGTGCAATTTGTCACGTCTCCGTGAAATTCTCTTTCTTTAGAGATCTCAATTATATTGGTCGATTGCGTGTGAGAGCCGCAAAAGGTGTGTATAGTACTGAAACAATATAAGAGATTTGCCTAAACAATATAGGAGATTGGAGGTTACAAAGTTCAAACTGTTGGGATGAACTTGTGAAGAAAGAACAACACACAAACACACACACACAATATGTGTTAGTGGCTCCGTTCTCAGGCATTGTGCACACTAAGGTGAAGGCACACGTACACTCTCAGAAATGCCGGACGTTCACATGTCACTGGGTCAGGCACGCCAGAGAGATATGCTGCTTGCCTCTATACAATCAGCAAGCGTACTTGAGAGAATGCGCGTGCAGCTGTTTGACAGAGAACATGTCTAATGGCACATACACGTTATCACCATTTGT